AACACTGTACTCGACATACACTTCACACAATACAGTACTGCCTCCGACTATAGCGCACTCTCGGGGCGATCGCTGTCTACCTGACAGCTGACTAGAGAGAGAGAGAGTTGAAAAAGTTATATAAAAATATTTTTAAACAAAATGCATATATGATTAAGGTAACAAATATTTTAATTAATACCGGACATTAATTTGTTTTAACCATGGACATTAAAATAAATATCATTATACAATAATTTAGTAAAATGTCAAGTGAACGGGTGGTCAGATAGAGAGTGGTAGAGCTGGTAAGTGTGTAGCCCTAACCCCCCTATGAAACACATCACTCTTCAAACTGTAATGCATTTCTTATAATAGCGTTAAAGCTATGAAAGCATTCAGAGATACTGTGTTTCACAGAGAAATGCATACAAACTGTAGCCAAACACAAACCATTGCACGCAAAACGTGATAAAAATGGCCGTAATATTGAACACACTTCACGCCAGAGCGGCGACCATGGTCAGTTTGCGCACGTTTCGGCTGCCGGGTCCGTGCAAAGTCACCCGGGTAAGTGTCCACCCATGTTATCATCAACCCGTAAGGTCAATAATTGACTCATTTTTACCCCGATTCGCAGCCAAACGCGTTAAGGTCATTGAATACCAACACCACTGCCACCGGTTCATCGCAATCATCTAGATGGCGGCAAATTGTAATTAACAATTAACTTTTTAACCATGGTCACACTGTTTTACTGGTCGCCCCCCATAAGTGTACAACACATGGGGTTATAGTGTAGTGAGGGTTAGCTCTTCCCCCGCGAGAGAGAGAGAGAGAGAGACTGACCGCTAGTGTTGTTTTCCAAAGACATTGACATTGGGTTAGCGATAGTCTCCCGTTTACACCCGATATATAGATAGTGTACACTCGCTATAGTGTACACCTTCTACAGTCTACTTCATGAATAGTGTAGGCCCTGTAACCGGGCCTGTAGTGACCAAAAACTTCTCATTACTAGTGTTTTAAAACTAATTTTTCTCTCTCCCTTTTCTCGACCGGAATACTCGATATGTGCGGACACAACAACAACACAGTTATATACGACGGGAGCGGTGGCCGGTGTGGGCGCTATCGGCCTGTACTACGCTCTCGACCAGTCGGTGAAGGCGTCGGGCCTGGAGTTGCATCCGCCCGCCTATCCCTGGAGTCACAACGGCTTTATCAAAGGCTTTGACCATCAGAGGTACTGTCCAG